GTGGTTCGAATCCAGCTTTGTAGGTTTCTTTTGGCAAAACGCTTCTTTACCAATTTCTTCTCAAAATTGGCTGATTTAGCTGTTTGTGCCCCCCCCCCGCAAAATAAAAAAGAGGAAAAAGAGAGCATTGGGCTGCAAACCCCGAATTAAAACGTATTAGGGCCTCTGTTCTGTTCTCACTGACAACAGTCTGGAGAACTTCGATCTCCAAGACCACCAAACTTAAGATCTTCAAGACCTCAGTAGAATCCATCCTCCTCTACGGTTGCGAGTCCTGGACCCTGACCAAACACATCTCTGCATCCATTGATGGCACCTATACACGGATGTTGCGGGCTGTTCAGAACGTTTCTTGGCAACAACATCTCCCTAACTCTGTTCTGTATGATGCCCTTCCTCCTATCTCCACCACCATCAAACAGCGTCGCCTTCAGCTAGCCGGTCACGTTTATCGACAAAATGAGCCAGTTTGTCAAGTTCTCCTCTGGAATCATAGCCCCTCGACGAAAAAGTCGTCCCAACATGACCCTGAAAACATCCATCGAGCTAGAAACTGGTCTGAGTGGTCCATCTCTTTCCAACACTATATGCTCGACAGGGACAGTTGGGCCCAACTCATCAAGTCATCATGAAAATAAATGAGTGAAGAAGAAGAGGGCCTTAATAAACAGGGGTAATAATGATGTAAAGCGCTTCGACTTTGCAAAACTGCAAAACTACCCTTTAATTTATCACTTTGAATTGGACTTTTCCCAGTTACACACCTATGTTCCGACACACCTATGTTCTAACTTACCATGTTCCGACTGCTCATATTCCTACCCTAACCCTCTAACCCTAACCGGGAGTAACACGATCTACGTGCGGGTTGTCGGAACATAGAGCAGTCACCCGTCCATTCCCCAGCTGACATCGGTGAACAACCGATGGCAAGGAACAGTATTCTTGTGACCCCATTGTCCCCAGATGAACTCGCGTAAGTCAAGGCCTAAATATAATAAGGGCATTACACCTGTAAACTCAACGGGTGTACAATAATTGATTGGATCACTGCCAACTCAGGTGCCGCATCTGTTTTGTTAAAGCTCTCCATCCAGTGCACTGTGATGAAGTTAGTTGGACAATCAAATTCCACATGCACTGCCAGTCCACAGTACGGATTACAAAGCGTGGCTTGAAACCACAGCTGTTTATGTGTAAGCCTCAAATTCCGGAAGCATTATTTTTTTCCTGCGCCCTGGCTTGTTACGTCGTTCGTTTTCATGGTTCTTTAACCATAACAGATTAACACACATGCGTCATTTCACTTCTGATGAAGAATTCGGGTATAACAATCTATACGCTTGTTGTTATTGATTAAATTTGGCAGAACGCCCACATTAACGTGCATTTTGACGTATACTGAGCTGTAACCAATGAAGCAAAACCGGAAGTATTTTGCTTCCACAACCAACACGAACCGTTCCTTGTAAAAAACAAAACAAAACCAACAACACACAGCTATTTCTCCATCCCTGTGCATCTGAATAATTAATTAATTAAAATTTAACGGGAGGTCAAGGCCTTACTACCAGAGAGCTACGTGTACACGGGGAATAGAAAACAGACTACAAGTTGCTTACTTGCCTATTAGGCCATCAGCCTGGGGGTTAGGCCAGTATCAAATCAGGGCATAAATGATGTCACACAAACCAGAGGTTAGGATTTTGTAAAAATTGTATTGAATCCTTTGGGACGAGATGTTGCCAAAGCGGTGACAAATCCGAGATTTCGTAACATTCGAGGCAACCATCTACAACCATCGTAATAGTATCAAGTTCAGACTTAAACGATTGTATTGACTCAAGCCACTTGGCTGTCAAAATGTGTGTCTTGCGGTTAGTGCAAACATAATCCAGCGTTTTGATGAACTTAAATTTAATTCTCATTAAAGTACTTTAGAGTTCAGCCTTTTTTGTAAATAAATGTAAGCACACTCAGTCTGTTTTTTTTCTTTTCGATTCCTTTCTTTTTCCTCTGAGGTTTCTCAAAACAAAACAGATGGCAGGGCGTTGAATCACACAATTTACTCAATAATATCCCATCTGCTCAGGGCGGCAATGCACACGAAATCAAACATTAAGTGTTTTGAACGCCTCAAGAACGTATGGGACAAGAGTGATGTATGAGGTGCTGGGTGTTAAACGCATGCGATACAAGGTGTTGTATTCGACAGTATGCATATTTATATTTTATGAAGGGATTGCATTTGAGATTCTTACTTAAAAAAATGATTTTTCATCGCGCCATAATCTGACACTGATCCGGTTCATGTGTAAAACAAATTGTACTCTAATAACCTTATAACTAATAAAATGTTATAAACGAAAATGAAGATTATGTCCATATATTTTGTAACGAAAAGGTGTATTTGTGTCTGACAATAAATTATTCATGTGAATGAAGCGGTCATTAGAACGTATTATTTAAATAGAAAGCGATCCAATTCAATTCTTTTCTCAAGCAGAAATACAGTAATAAGCACATTCTATGAGCATACGCATAGGGTATGTTGCTATTTCAGATCACGATATAAACAAAATGGTTAATTTCCTGATTGAAAGATACAAACCGATTACAAAAAAACCCCGTATTTTCCAATTTTCTTTTCTGAATGAACAACTAACAGTTTAATACCACAAACTATTCTACACCACAAAAATGTGTTTTTTCTCTGGCTGGTACAATGAGGCCTTCCTAGTGACATGTTTCTTTCTGCCAACTCTTTTTTTTTATGATGTCTGATGAACGATGAAATCTGTCAACGCCCAAATTTAGACCTTGACAGTCGAGACCGACAGTGACAGATGGGAGACACTCAGAGAGAGAAGGCAAGAAATCAAGCGTAAAAATGAATTATACTCTCGTTATGAGCAGATGATTAATTTTTATATTAATTCTTCATACTATTCACACGCAAGGGCAATGTGGCCCTTTCCGAGGGGACGAAAGACGTAGGCTTTTTAAAGGAATGGAAGAAACAGTGAAGATGTTTATAGCACCAATGATATTTCAGTGTCGTTGTTAGTTAATCACAGTTATATTTTAAGGGAATAAATGTGTGCTTTGGAGGTTTTAAACACTCTGTTTAAGACCGGTTTAAGTCTGGATGCTGACATTAACCCGAGCCGGGGGCGAGGGTAATTTTCAGCACCTAGACTCCAACCGGTCTTAAACAGTGTGTTTAATACCGGCCAAGCACATATTTATTCCCATTCATGAATACAAAAAAAATCAAAACTTTTCGGTCCAAAAGTCAAAACAAGTCAAAATTATATATTTCCAACGATTTTACTTCATATTCTTAGAAACACCCCTCCAGCTATAAAATGAATTGTCCAGCTCGCGAGTAAGTCGTAAACAACTCCTTATATGGAGATTGGCGCGCGCGTCGCGCGTACTGCGCGATGTGACGTAGAAGGCAGCTGTGCCGGTGCGTTGTGAATTTAGGACTTTGAAATACTGACTCACTGGTAGTATTTCGCATGGCTACGTAAGGATTGTAAACGTTCAACAAATAACACGTTAAAAGGCACTAGATGTCATAGGAATCCAAATTTCATGTGACACTGGAAAAGTGTTTAAGACCAGTCAGCCATGTCTTTATCAACCCATTAAAACCGGCTATGCGAGGTGCTCCCGACCAAAAGGAGTGGGTAAACTGTCTTAGGTATTTATGAATGTTAATTTAATTTCCCTATTTCATGATTATTTTACAGGGAGTATAATGTAAACACACACACACACATTTAATAAAGATATTACAAAACAAGTACAATTAACAAATTGTAAAAATGCGGATAGGAGTTACAACTGAAAATAAATATGGGTTGAGTTCAACACAAAAGAAACAGAAGATCAGGATTAAATATAAATAATATTTAGAAAGCGTCAGACCTAGTAATGAAAATAAAACAAAGACAATAAAGATATTAAAAATAGATCACACAGTTGCCACCGACCTTTTTACGAACAACAATAACAATTCAACCACTAGTCAATTACATGCCGAATCACTTGTCAAATCATTAGACGGATCTTTAGACGAACATTATGAAAAAGGAGTATTTTTTTTGCCATCATTATTTTTAAATTGCACGCCACATGACTTGAGACTGGACGACTTGTGATGACTTTTTAACGGCGTGCGAACGCGCATTAAGACAAAATCTTACTTATGACAATGTTGTTCGGCTCAGGGAATTAAAGGCATACGTTAAGATCATTTGCATTTATCCCCAAAGTAACCTAACGAATTATCAAAAAGCTTACATGGATGAAAGATTGTATTGGTACTAAACACCCCGTGAAATTATTTCGTCTGACTTGCTGTCATGTTAAAGAAATCAAGAAATGCAGTTGATTTCCAACGATAGGTCAATCGACTGATTTTTGGAATAAAGAGTGCTTCGTGTTTGGAGATCTAAACTTGAGCATGATTTTTGACTGTTTTCTCACACGGTGTATAATATCCACTGAGCTGAAACTTCAACGGGTTAAGTTCTAAACATTCTTCTTTGGAATGTACGTGGTGTTATTATTGGAAACGAACAAAATGCATGAAAAGCAAATGATCCTATATGCCTTTATAACATGGGGCGTATGAACCTCGTACCTCAACCCTTCTGTCAAGTTTGAACAGTTGTTAATTTATTGTTCGCTGCAGTAATTTGGCTTCGGGTTTTACAACAAATCAAGTGCTTTTGATCTCTAGCTAAGAGGGTCATTTGTGGAATGCTACGTCAAATTCGGCACAAATATTCAAGATATGCGGAATTTTATATTTGTGCAGTTTTTGAACTTCGGACGAGATAGCAACTCCCCCTTTTCAACGATTTATCATCATTTTTTAATCAAGTTTCTCAATTGTCAGAATTCTTTCAGTTTTGATTTCCACACAAAGATACTGAAGGTACAAAGATCTCACGAACATTTTATTTCTTTTCCCCTAACGATTACAGGAAGCACCCCGCGATTTTCATACGAAGAGAAGCGTACTAAGCTGTCGGACGAGTTTGTTGGTAACTTTTTGGAGTTCAACTGGAAAAGAAGGTGTTTCACGCCCACAGGTAAGGGTTAATTCGGGTGATTCACAATGCAGTGCGCCAACAAGAGTTTGCCAGGGAGAGTTAATTTTTTCCCCAGTGCATTGTGGAAGATGGTCGACAAATTCGTAGCGCGGGACATTTGAAATTGTTAGTTTTTTTTCCGGTCAGTTTCGTAAGCATATGGTTCGAGTATCCGTTTGCCCTTTTCTTTTATTTTTATCAATATGGTGTTTTTTGTTAGGCAGCAGAGCGCTATGCCCCAATCTATAACAAATCTGCTAAAATTGTCGACTGACACTCATTCGAATGGACCATGTTTTGTCGACCGTAAACTTGAAAAATGGACTCTCCATGGCAACTTTTTTTGGTGGCGCACTGTATTGTGAATCGCTCGAATTTCCGGTCCCAAAAGTGTTTTTCCAACCTGTTTTATTTTGTTTAGAGAGACCTTTTATCAATAATTTCGTCCAAAAGAAATTCCAGACAAGCTTAATATAAAAACTGTCAATATTAAATGCTTTTTTGATTATATTTTGAGACGCTAGTGATTGCTTAGTAGTACCGACGTCTCATTCACTCACGGCAAAGCTCACCAATGTGGATTCAAATGATCTTTGGAAGATTTTCAAAGGAACACACAAGGCCATTAAACACAACATTCTTGATTGTCTCTTTTCCTTTAATTATTTAACGAGTTAATAGCGCGATAAGCATTCAAATCCTCTTTTCTCTGCGATTTCAACGCTATATCACACATAACAATGCAATTAATATTTACTTATCCAGCATTATCGTAAGTACGATACAAGAACAAAACTGCCCAAGACGGTTTACAAAACACGCTTGCAAATTGATAATGAGCATTATTTCACACACCGTGCACTTTATATCCTAATGTGCACTGGTTGAGGAATGCGTCGTACAAAGCAGAGACGATAGTCACAGTGCTCAAATTCAATTAGCGGTTCTTTGAAATGTGTTTGAAAGCGTCAAATGATTGCAATCATTATTATCAACCAATCAGAGATAAAAGCCAAAGAGACACAGCATTGAAGTATCGTCTTTGCGTTTTCAAATCGTGCTCTTCAATGAAGCAATGTAATTTAAGAGATGCGATGTGACCGCTCATGAATTGAATAACAAATTCCACTATCACACCATCGTATGATTCGCTGATATCGCGACTACAGCTGCATTATGGAGTGACGAAATTCTACGTCAAGGTTAAAGACAAGGGGTAGACGTAAAATAAGACTAAACAAAAAAAGCAGCCTTTAAAAAGATAACACTAATCCGAAAGAGGAACTAGCATGACGTCATCTTTGCTGATTAGAATCGGAATGTGACGTGGACAGTTTCAAATTTTAAGTGGAGTAATGTTAACCAAGCCATTATTCAGGGTGGTGCAAAAAGAAGGAAACCCACTTTTTTGATAACAATTTTCACCTACTTGTTCAGCATATTTCAAAAATTCAATTTAATCGTATTTGATCTTTAAACATAACTGACGAAAAAACCGATTGCAAATGCATGTTTTGTCTCTGAGATATGGTAGTTGTTAAATGTCATGTGCCATACCTGTTTGTCCACGGACGGCGTTATTCCATCCGCTTGACTGAGCTCCGGTGCCTGATTTGAAGACAAAAAAAAACCACTACACTAAGACTTACACGTGGATAAGAGTGATTTTGGTGACTTGTATCCAAATTAGCATAATAACTCTATTCTTGCGATTTTTTAAAGATTGTTTTCATCACGTATGGTTGAAGAGCTATATTTCACAATATTAAACCGTTCCAATAAGTTAAACCCGAAAGAGGGTTTTCCTTCTTTTTGTACCACCCTGTATAAACGGAAACGCAACACCAATAACAGAAACAACAACAGCGAAATCAGCAACAGAGCAGCAACAGCGGCAACAGCGGCAACAGCGGCAACATCGGCAACAGCGGCAACAGCGGCAACAGCGGCAACAGCAGCAACAGCAGCAACAGCGGCAACAGCAACAACAACAGCAGCAACAACAGCAACATTAGCAGCAGTAGCAGCAGCTGCAGCTGCAGCAACAACAGCAGCAGCAACAACAACAACAACAACAACAACAACAACACCACCAGCAACAGCAACAACAGCAACAAGAACAACAAGAGCAACAACAGCATCAACAACAACAACAGCAGCAGCAACAACAGCAACAACAGCAACAACAACAGCAACAACAACAACAACAACAACAACAACAACAACAACAACAACAGCAACAACAGCAGCAACAGCAGCAGCAACAACAACAACAACAACAGCAAAACAACAACAACAACAGCAGCAACATAGCATCAGCACCAGCTGTTGCAGTATCATTATTAATAGCAACAGCAACAGTTATAAAAACAGTTTTATTCAGAGTACGAAGTAGGTTAAGCGTTGGTGGTTGTTTTGACTAGAAAATACAAACACACAGTTCCATTAAGACAAGTCTCCACAAAATCACATCCAAAGCCCACAATTTTGTCACAATCATTTGGCAACGAATCAAAATGTGAATCTCAATTTGGCGCCTTTTGATCTGGGGCTTAGCACGTTTTCACAGAATGTCTGACCTCCTTTTCCCATGTTGATAAAAAAGAAAGAGAAACACATTTGTGTCAACGAAAAATCGTGTAAATGGCATCACGTACCCAGCACATGTACAGAGAATCAGAAACGAACACCTGATTTTTGTGTGTGTTTTTTTTTACTGTTAAGAGATAAAGTTACAACTATTACTGCGGCGGGAGATAAACTTACGCCTGTTTTGTGGCAGAGATAAAAGTGCCATTCAATAATGTTTACACTAGAAACAAACGTCTTGACAAATCGAAACCATAACACCTTGTGATAAATTGTCGCCATCGCAAAGAATCTAATTTACCTTGATCAAACAGAGATAACTCTGGCCTGATTTTTACCCAAAGTCGTGACAATTTCTGTATGACAGTCATTCCAGTGCGATGCGTTGCCTGCGAGACAAATAACACAGACTCAGGTAACCGAATATTCGATTTTGTTTTGAGGGCTTCGATATCTGATACTCGATTATCGCACGACTGGGGTTGTACTCTTGAATAAACAAGACTCGTTAAAAAGTAGAATGTTTTACCGTGCAATGTCACTCACGATTTTGGTAAAGTTTCACTGAATGAAAACTCCCTATCTTGCGAACTTTTTTTCTATTTTAATTCAAGCGAAGTCGGAAATGAACAATTGTTGTTTGTACCACTCTCGACCTTCAACCAGGAAACATTCGAAATGAAACGAAATTGCCAATGTTGAATTGTGTAATTACATATCAGGATTAATGAAAGGGCTGTCCTTGGCTCCGCCCCCTCCTTTTGCTTCTACCAATCGGCGCTATTGATTGTGACGAGGCCAATTTGGTTTTCTTCTACAATAGATGAAGGACCGCCGTATCTAGAAATCAAGCGCTTTGAAACTAATGATGGTTTTCATTACTAGGGCTTTGCAGCAACGGGTAGTGTGGGTATCGGATACCTGACATCACCACGCGCGCATATCCGGCTACCTGCGTGAGAGTTCAAGATATAAAGTTACATTACGTTGTTAGTTTGTTGACACTTGTAAAAGGGTATCGACCCTCACCAACGCTTCACTCCGAAGGAAAGCATTTACTAATTATTGTCATGACTGTTTCTCTGTACGGTTCCAAATTGAAGCGCTGCCTTGCGAATGAATATCTTATTAATTTTACACCTCTCTGCGTTTTTGTACCATTCTCAAAGAGGAAGTATGATATTAACAGTCAATTCATGGCCAGGGTACGAAAACGTACAAACGCCATTCCGGAAAACATACAGGCACAAGATGAGCATGTTCGGAAGGACAATAATGAAACCAAGTCGACAGAAATCCTTCCGTTTCACCGGAGTTTCAGGTGAACATTTCCCCAGCGTCATCCTGAGCCCATTACTCTGCATCCAGTCGATAACATTACGCGCTTGATATCGGTAGTGACTTCAAGAATTACATCCTCCCATCAAGGAATGAGCAGCCGTGCTCTCGGCAGATAATCATCTTTAAGATGGTCGTCCGCATATTACTCCTAATGACATACACGTTTGCTCCGCTCTGCTGCTTGCGCGATTCATATCGGGGTACCGCTCGGCTTTTCTTTCTCCTCGGGCGGTTCCTGCGCTTGTCAGACGTTATTCCAGTCGCGATCGGTCGGTTTGGTTGCGTGGACATTTCTCGTGTCATTGTTCACTTTGAGTGACTAATAATATCAGATCAGGGCCTGGAGCTGCAGTCTACGGGGGTCGGGATTCCGGGGTTGGGTAAGATTACAGAATGTTTGTCTTCGTTTTCTTATTCTTTCTATTATACATGTGTAAATAAACAGTCCTCGTAACATAACTTATCAACCCCTTCGTTACACATTAAGCTTTTGAAAAAAGAATGCGACCTAATCTAACACCATGAGACGGCAGAGCTATATTTGAGTATCAGGGGCAAGGCACATCTTGCACACAAGAGAAGTACTGGGAAATAGTAGGACTTGTCCATGTTTTGACCCACATAATTTCCATATTCATCATATTTTGAATGTGTGTGTGAGAGATCATAATAAAGATCTGGCTCTGCTCTATCTAAAGATGAAATAGCTGTCTGTCGGCCTAGCGAAGTATTGGTCTAAGGCTCGAACGAAGACTAACAGTCCATGGCATAAAATAGAAGGCAGTTATTGGTTTAGTGCATGCCGAAGCAATCGAGGATGGTTCCGCAGGTTGTACACGTCAGGCGACTGTACCCATACTAGTCGTGTTAGTCGTATCTGCAGTCGTAATCCCAGACTCTCTGGACATCAACCCTATAGTCAGCATTCTGCTATCCTTTATAAGCAGGCGGCCAACACTACGAAGCCCCTATAAGTGCATACAAAGTGATGAGTGTAGAAACTAATATTGTGCTCACCTATTTCATCGACCGTGCGTATACTGAAAGTGCTAATCCCTACTCAGCAATGC